ATTGAGTTAATTAACTCGTTATAACGAGATAAATAACTCGTTATAACGAATTAGTTATCTCGTTATAACGATTTAGTTATCTCGTTATAACGAATTAGTTATCTCGTTATAACGAATTAGTTATTTCGTTAAACGAGTTAATTATCTCGTTATAACGAGTTAATTAACTCGTTATAACGAGTTAGTTATCTCGTTATAACGAGATATTTATCTCGTTATAACGAAATGATAAGTTTCCCCTTTATTTCTAAATTTAATAGAAATATAGGAATTAAAAATGGCTGTAGTTTTAATGCCATTGAAGTTTAGTTGATAATTATCAGTCGTACGTAAGTTTAAAATTGATATAAAGTTGCAAATTTAATTTGCGATATGGTTTTATCAATATTAATTCTGAACTATCTGGCTGTCAATAATCACAGTTTTATAAGTATAGCAATCTTTATTTGAACACATTTACACATTTATACGTGAACGTGTCCAAGGACATAATATTAAAAAAATATATTGCCAAATGTACTTGCTTCAAAGTTTGGCAATTTATGGTATGATAACTTTCTCCGATAAAAGACACTATTTTTTTTTATATGTTTTGGATGACTTATTAGCTTTCATAATCAATGTCTAAGAACCTAAATTATTACATTATAATAGCAACCTAACGCAGGCATTAAAGCAACATATGTTATATACACACAAATGTTTTGAAGAAGGGGGATATGGAGACATCATCAGTTAGGTCATGGGCGTAAAATTCGGGGGGGGGGGGGGGGGGGGTACTGCCAAAACAAGATCACGAGGCAGTCATAGGTTTCCGTATACATGTATTTGTCTTCGGTCTTTTAAGTAAACAATACAAATCAACTGCATCGTTTATACATAAACGAACTACAATCAAAGGCATAACCCCTCGAAAAACAAAAAAAAAACTAGTTTGATGTTTTTTAACAAAATCGTTATCATACACATTTTAAACAAACTTGATTGACTCGGTTTTATATGCTATACTTCCTATCATTTAGATATATCAACTTTAGACTAATGTTTAACTCGTTATAACGAGATAATTAACTCGTTATAACGAGATAACTACTTCGTTATAACGAGATAACTAAGTCGTTATAACGAGATAACTAAGTCGTTATAACGAGATATTAACTCGTTATAACGAGATAATTAATTCGTTATAACGAGATAACTAACTCGTTATAACGAGATAATTAACTCGTTATAACGAGATAACTAACTCGTTATAACGAGATAATTAACTCGTTATAACGAGATAATTAACTCGTTATAACGAGATAACTAACTCGTTATAACGAGATACTAACTCGTTATAACGAGATAATTAACTCGTTATAACGAGTTAAAAAAATTTTATCTTCTCAGAAATGTACGGAAACGTATAACCGCCTCGTGTTGTTGCTTTAGAACGCGATATTATGATATAAAAATGTTGTCAAATACAATAACTTCAAGGTTTGTCGATATAATTATGACAATAATCCCTGATAAATAATACTATTCTAATATGTTTTAGACGACTTATACACTTTGATATATCCAAGTTGAGTTTCTAAAGGCCGCACTAAAATTATGTGTAAAAATTAAGCCGCTAAAATTAAAATATCGCAGACATTAGTGCAATATTACAAATATGACGACTTCGCGAAGACGTCTAGATTTAATCAAAGAGGAAATTCAGCAAAATGCGAACGACTTGTAACATCAGATTTATTATTATGACGTATTGCATTGAATTGATGTCTGATTAGAATAAAATAATTCAAATTGTTATAGCACTAAAGTAATTGCAGGCCCGTAGTGCATGTCTAGACAATGCTTTCCTCTTTTTTCTAAGTGTGTGCTTTTCTTAGGGCTCGGGACACTCTTTGAAAACCGTACCTACGTGCCTGATTTTTATTCTCCGAAATTGATTATTTAAAAAATACATGATTTTTAAAAATAAAAATCTAAAATTTCATGCTGTCAGTAATTGCAATGTTTTTTTCTCAGAATAAACAAAAAGACATTTGCAGGTTTTACAGTGTTAATATTCTTTATGTATATGCTTTTTTAAATGTTCTCAAAAATCAACTTCATAGAATGTAGATGATTTTTTTAAATTATAACATAAATCTGAATTTACTAAAAGATTCAGAACATGATTGGGGGAAAATTGTGTCTGTGACAGCACTAACTAATGAGCTTGTGTGTTATCTTTAAAAAGAAAGAGGACAAAGTGCAAATTATTTCATTCATTTTATCAATCTACACATAATTTTACATGTATATTGCAGATGTGAAGGCATATTTAATGAATGACATTACACCAGACGGAAATATTAAATGCTTATATGTTTGCATATGTTCTCCAAGCTAAGAACATGATTAAAGATATCGTTATCATAGTTTGCATTAAATAGTGGACAAGTATTACCAAATATAGTGACTGTCTTTTGAAGCAACATTCATAAGATTTAATTTTTAGGGAAGAGAAAGCCTGCAAGATATCCTATAACTATTTAAATTATTTTATTTAAATCAGACATCAATTCAATGCAATACGTTATATTCAGGATGAAAATCATTTTCTCCTTGTATGTCCTCATCTTAATGTAAAAAGACTTGAACTTTCAAATATTTGTAAAATTAAATGTTAAAATTTTCAGTCTCTATCTTATGATAATCATTTTTATTGGCTCATGGCTAATTAAGACCTTGACATCCTTATATCAATTGCTAGATTCCTTGGTAATCTACCTAAATTGAGGATATTTTGATATGCAAAATATGTACTTTTTTTTAATCAGATTCTTGCCTTTCACTTTATAATGTTATTATAACATATATACAATTCATGTATGTATATTCAGTATATCTCTTATATACTAGTACATTTTTATCAACTGCTCTCATCATATGTAAGATCATGTTTGTTCTATCAATTGGATCCTCCTCCTTCTTTTGGTTACAATTTTTTCTTTTTGCTCCTCCTAGAGCCCAAATTGGACTGATAAAATCTTGTATCTTGTATAAATCAGATGCTATAAGTCGTTCGAATTCTGTTGAATTTTTCTCTTTGATTAAATCAACTCGTCTAAGCAAAGTCTTCATTTATGTTATATTGCACTAATGTCTGCGATATCTAGTTTTAGCGACATAATGTTTACACATCATTTTATGTACGACATTTAGGAATTCAACTTGGATACACCAAAGCGTATAAGTCGTCTAAAACATATAAGAAAAGAATTATTCATCAGAGATTGTTGTCATAATTATATCGCAAAACCTTGAAGTAATTGTATTTGGCAACATTTTTATATCATGATATCGCGTTCTAAAACAACAACACGAGGCGGTTATACGTTTCCGTAGAAATGAGCCTATCCGGCTTTCGTATCCACGAACTTCTCTATAACCCGATATAAAATATTGGAGACAATGTTGTCCAAAATAATTGATTGCATAATTTACTAGTAGTACAGTTGTCGTAAATGTTACTACAGTTAGAAAAAAATGTGAGAATTTTCCTTAATAAATAATCAGTCTAAAGAATTTAACAATTGAAAAAAAAATGTACAAGAAAGTAAAATTTATTTTATTAATTCAATAGTAAGGTTTTAAAATAAAATAAAATATTTTGATGACTAATCTATCCTATTCTCGCATCATATTTTTTCGCGAAATAACGCGAAAGTTACGCATTATTCGCGAAAATTTCGCGCTATAACGCGGAAGTTACGCGTTTATTCGCGAAAATTTCGCGTAATAACGCGTAAGTTATGCTTTAATTCGCGAAAATTTCGCGTTATATCGGGAAAGTCGTGTAATATCGCGAAAGTTACGCGTTTATTCGCGAAAGTTTCGCGTTGTAACGCGAAAATAAATATTTTTCTTACCTACGAAAATGAGCTCATTGGGCTTTCGTAGTCATTTAATCTTAACTGATAATTAGACAAACATGTTTATACTAAGTTAATTTTGTCTTTTAACGGGTTATGTATTTTTTCTTCAAAAGCTGCTTCCGTTAAATCCAGTAATAACAAACAAAGAGAGCATTTTATTGTTTAAGTTACCATTAATTCCTTTAACTAACAAAATATCCTAATATGAAACAGAAGTGACAAACTCTGTGGTATCATTTATTCTTGAGGGGTAATGGGGTATATATTAAAAAAAGAAGATATTGGTAAGAGGTTGATCCTCGATATTTCTAAAAGATGACTTAGAGGCCACAGCAAGATATTCCTTCTCACGAAGAAGGTTTGTAAAATTTAACTTCGTATGATTACAAAAATAAATCTGTTAATAACGGGCACAATTGGTCCCCGGGGATTTCCGACAGATTTGTTGGAAGACTTTGTCTCAAAAAGCTACAAAGATTTTGTTAATCAATTTCTATGAATCTTTTAAGCGCTTTCCGGTACATTGAGAGTGAGCGCTCCCATTATCCATTTTCACTTCAAAGCGCACTATATTGGCAATAGTAAAATGATTCTATCCTAGTCAATGAAGATTTTCATCTGCTGATACGGTCTAAAGAATAAATCTTACATTTTCTTATTACCCTCTTGCAATGATGTTGGATCCCTCACTGTGTGGGTTGACAGAAGAATATTTTCAATGTGTTTATATCTATACTAGTCTAGTAAGTATCGACTCTATCTAGGCTGCAGTTTAATATGGTAAATGAAAACAATTTGAGTAAAATCGCCTAGCACTGTTTCATCTTTTCCAATGAGTGTTCGTACTACAATTGAGAGACAGTAGTTCTTTATTCAAATTTCTAGCATCGATAAAAACTAGCATTTAAAGTTATCTGGAGACCAATAGCAACCCTCCGTTTAGCTTTCGACCAACAAATAAACGCTGACGATCCAATGAAAATAAAATCCTCCCGATGCTTTAAATGACTGTGAAACCAACTGGTTGTTCACAACTTACTTCGCCAAGCTAAGTTCGCACTATTTCATAATACTAGTACCTGCAAAATGTCGCAATTCAGTGGAACATGGGAAGAAAGAGAAAAAGACCCAAGTATGGGACCATTAGGTAAGTAAACATTGTAATGACGCCCTAATAAAGTAATTGTAATGAGTTCAAATATCTGTTTTAATGTTTATCATTATCTTTGAAATTGGTCTTCGTCTGATAGAAATTAAGAATATACATATGATCAATTTCTATAATGAAGGCATTTTATACAAATATTTAAAGATACATGGTAACATAATTACAATTCATGAATACGTTTATTTATAAAATTCAAGATGGTTTTCTCTGCATTTAGAAAAAGTCCTAACATTTAGTTTATTTGGAAACCTTTCCTTGTAAACCATATAACCTAGCTGCTAAGAAAATAGAAGAGTATTCAACTAGCGGTCAACTGCGAAAGAATATATAGGAGCATTCAACAGTGGTCCACTCTATGCAAATGAGTTGAATGCTCCCTCATTTGCATGGCAAAAATTCAACTAATGGTCAATTGACGGTCAGTTGACCGTCAACTAAGTAGTCAACTGAATACTCCGATTGAATTCTAATAGTATTTTTTTCATATGGGCTGACACTAATTCTATAGGATTAACCTTAATCTTTATTTGACAATTTCTTTGGATCCTTGATAAGATAAAAAGAATCACTTCCCTTGAATGCTTAAACCTTTAAGATTTTTTTTTCAATTTAGGACTAGGAGAATACAAGGATAAATACATGGGGGCAAGATGGACAGCCACCTATGATGTAAACGGCGATAACTGGAAGATAAGCTGGATCACATCCCTGCAAGACGATCCCATCCCGGACTACTACATCACGGTCGGAAAAGAATTCTACGGAAAAGGCCCCGGTGGTTCCGATGTAAAGGTATTCATTTCTTTCTGCATAAACAAAGACTAAACGGCTATATGAAACAAATTGAAAATTTACGAATTTACTAAAAATTGAAAAAATAGAAAATTGAATATTAAATTCAATAAATCAAAACTAGATAGGCAATAGGTACGAAGTTAAAATAAAAGTTCTATCAAACGCAGAATTAGAATTCATTGGTTCAAACATGACATGGCACTTACATGCCATTAATTTAGATAACCCTAACAGTGGTTAGCGACTGTGAAACAAGGGAACACGTTGTCACAAATGTCGAAGATGGGAAAAAACGGGAATTCATCATCACCAGAAAGGTCAATGGAGACGTTATGGACGTTGTAAGTGTTTGTTATCTTAAGTTTTTATAAAGGGGTCTATCATTTTCCTTTTCAGGGAATGGAAGTTGACCACGGGTTAGGATCGGTTGTAGTTATAATTATATGTAGTCAGAACTATAAAAGTAATTGTTTGATTATATTAAGATTAAGTGTATATCTGAACAATCCCATGCATGTACAAAGAGAATATTTGTCATGGGAATAATGTTCGAGTTTAATAGCTATTGCGTGTCTAAGGAAAGATTTGTCAGCATCAATTTAAAGCGCAGGGTCTTCAGCGTTTTGCTTCCCACTTTAACTATTTTAATTTTTTTAACAAATGTAACTCCTAATAGATTCGTTGTATGTACAATATTTATTATATACTCGTGCAAATGTGCATTATTTTTTTTTTTAATTCAACAAAAACAAGAATAACGATAATGGATTTGTTTTGTTGCTTTTCAGAAAATTGAAGCTAAAACGCCCAGGGCTACTACAATGAAAGGAAAAATGTACAGAAAGAAATAGTGAAATTCATCAATTTGGTCCAAGCAAAATATCAAATTCAGCAGACTTATCAAACGCCCGAACTGAAGCATTACAAAAATTAGAGCGATATAGGAAATACGGATTCCTAGCCTAATACAGATATTTAAAATTTTTCACACTAAAAATCTCTGAGAATCTTGGATAAATATTTTTACTAAAATAACAGTAATAGAATGAATACGATAAGAAAAAAATACGGATGATGGGGATGCCACGAAAATATTGCTAAAATAAGTTTTGTTTCAAAAACTAATTTAAAATGATCAAATAAATACATTCAAAGGAATTGTATGGTAGAAACTACTATTGTTTCAAATTTCTGAAATTGTTCTGATGAAATGAATGAATGAAAGCCCACTGGTACCTATTTTGCAATATGTTAAGAAATTAAATACAGCTATTGCAGACTTTTCCCAAAAGCATTATACCATTTGTTGAAGACATTAACAATATTACATCGACAGTGATATTATGAATGAGGATATTTATAAACCAAAAGGAAAAAAATATATATAGATTAAGCAAAAAGACATACGAATTTCTGGATAATATCAGATATATAGCTACATCTCTTGAGAAGAAATCACTGAAAGAGCAAAAAGTATGCGACAAATGGTTATGGATGTAACTTCCAAAAGTTATGAAAATGTTTAAAATCTTTAAAAACTTAAATGAGCTTAACTTAAATATATATCACTGAATATATTTATGATTTGAAATAAATAAGTCACATTTTACGTTGAAATCTTCA